CTTTGCAGTGCCATCGCAGCTCGACAACGAAGAGAGGGCAAATCACGATTTCACGATGGCAATTTCTAGAGAGAGAGAGAGAGCATATCGCGATTTTGAGAGAGAAAGAGAAGATGGAGATGACAACGGCAGTGACGATGGATGGTGGCTAGGGTTAAGGTTAGGGTTGGGGAAGACGAATGTATGTTTGTATCAACTGATGGGCAAGGGATGGGCTATGAGAGTCGCTGGAGAAAAAGAAGAAGAAGAAAGAGGAGAAAGTTGGGGACAGGGGCAGCGATGAAAGGGATGGCAACCACTGGTGATGGTAGTAGTTAAGATTAGGGTTACAATTTGATAAGGGTTGGAGAGTTTGGAAAATTAGGGTATTTTGGGTTTTTTAGAAAATTGTTGGTGTGAATTCAAAAAATATCAAATAATTCAAAATAGGTGTAGTGTGAATTAAGAAAATGGTGTGTAAAAGGTAGATATCAACCTAATAGTGATAATACATACAGACTTGGTGTGAATAATCTAATTTGCTAAGTGACTGGAACATTAAGTGTAAGAGAATCTAAAATTCACTAGATATATAATATTTGTTAGTTAAAATATTTAGTATAATTTATTTTTTTCAATTTCAATGCACTAGGCATATGATTAGGTATTTTGACTCAACTCACATTCATTAGCTACATGTAGTTAGTCTTCAAGGCTAGGCAAAACGTATTTAATCATTAGGATCATTTTCCTTAAAGAGTTGTAGTTCACAACTGAGATGAATCAACTGCTCAGGATACATATTATTCCTGCAAAAACAGATCAAACCAATTTCAATTATAGAGATCATATGCAACATATCTAAAGCTGTTATAGAAAATAGATTTAACAAAAGTCAACCCTTCTTGATTCAACACAATTCTTCAACCCAACAAATAACTGAAGCATCAAGATTTTTTTTAAAATATTTCTCGTAAAAAAAATTCCATTAATACAAACGGAGTGGTTTTTTCTGACCAGAAAAAAAATAAAAATAAAAAATCTTAAAAATTACCTGCGTCACAACTTAATACACATCCGCCAAACCGCCAATCCACTCAATCCACATCCGCCGGATTGGCGGACGGATGTGAATTGATTTTCTCCAACCTGCCAATCTGGCGGACGGATGACGGATTGGAGGTTCCGTGACTGCAACCGACCCGTGCCCACCCCTAGTACAATCTCTCTCACATTTCCAAACTGCACAGCAATTAATTTCCGGTACAATCTCTCTCTCTCTCTCTCTGTCTACAAGTTTGGCATAAGGGTCTCTTTATCCATGGCTTCATTTTCTGATTTCGAAACCTCCTCAAACAACATTCCATACCAGGGTATGTTAAATTCTTTACAAACCCATTTTCTATGTCATGTTCATACACAAACATATATATATATATACAGACTCTTTTTTTTTTGGTCTATCTTTCTGTACATTCGTGCGTTCGTTCTTGACAAGCAGATCTGCAAAGAAGCAAGCTTTGTTTTGGTGAAATCGGATGGGCAATGCAAACGAAAGAGAAGATTTAGCCAATGGCGGTCCCGACGATCCCTCCACAGGATCCAACGGTGAATTGCGATTCCGCCCCAATTACCTGCCAAACTCCTGATTTGATGGCCAATTCCCCTCCGGCGAGCCCCGCTCGCTTTCGATCCCCGCTCATGTTCACTTCTCAGGTTTCTTCTCTTCACTTCACTCCACTTCTTCAATTGATAGATTATGTGAATCATTCGAAGATCAAAATTGAATTTTTTATTAGTTTTTGTTTATTTTCTGATTTGTTAGATCCTTTATTTTAGTAATTTTTTTAAACTCTTTTACTCTACCAAAAAAGAAGAAGAAAAAAAAGTAGAGTAGGGAGATTGATGTAATAGTGACTTTTATTGGAGTGGCCAAACGATGTCGTGTTCATTTTTTATGCTTATCAATCTGTTTGGAGATAATGCTAAATAATGGGTTTGTTTCAAATTCTTGATTCGTCAATGTTAGCACTTAGCAGCAAAGCAATATAAGGGTTGTGATTCTGCAGGATTGGATTGTCGTGATGAGAATGTCCTCAAAAAACACGTCGTTCTTTGATTGGAACAAAGACGGTGTTGTTTATCCTTGAGAAACTTTTCGAGGCTTTTTTTTCTCTGATTTTTGTTTTATAAAATTTTGATCAATTAGTGTGTGTATATATATATCGTATCAAATTCAAAAAAAGTTATGCAATTGAATATATAAATAAATAAAAAAACAAATTGAATATAAAAATAATTTTAGCAAAGCTCAATATTCTTAATTAAATAAATCCTCATTCTTAACTCAAAGAAATTTCATAAATATGAAAAAAGGGTTTGCTGTAAATTATCCAAAACCATACAAAATCTATTACTTCATCAAATCAAATCAAATTAAAAAAAAAAAAAAAAAAAATTTATGCGATTGAATATATGAATTAAAAAAAAAATGAATGAGGATATATTAAAATTTTTACCAATTGAAAAGTAGTGTTCTTTAATTCAATTTTTATTGACTCAATCGCATAATTTTTTTAAAAAAATTATGCACACGCATCGCGTGTGCCCTCACCGCTAGTAATTCATTGTATATATATATATATCTTTGATGCTCTGTCGAAGCAAAAATTATCTAGCGTTCTGGGAACACCATACCAAAATGAAATACATATCTATATTCATGTCAGAAGAACTGAATAAGCGCATGGTGAAAGTGAGATGTTCATGCATGACTGACAACATAGAAGTGTTTGCTGAGGCAATGGTGCCACACAATGGTGGCGGGCTAGATATCAATAGGGAACGTGGAATCAGTGGATTGCATTACATAGAGAGGACACCCCTAATAGCTACCACGAATGCTGTGGCGTGAAAGAGTGTTGTAGTTCAATCCTCGCAACACTAGTGGGGTTTGTGTTAACAGAATTTCTGTCAATGGATTAAATTGACAGCCTGGATTGCTATTTGTTGCCTATGAACCTACTCAATGAGTTCGGTTCGACATGCTTGAAGCACGTAATGCTCAAACTGCAAGAAATTGAGAGAATTCGACCGTTGTTGGAAGGTATACTTCAAATATTTATGTGATTAATTAGTAAGGGATATGACCAAGTGACCCGCTAGGAACACGTTGAAGCCTTGGCGTAACTTTTAGGACTTTTCATATATTATCGTTCCAATATCCACTTTTTCCAATGTGTTTCATGGGAAGGATGTAATCCAGATTTGTGGGCATGGGAAGCAGCTAGGGGCTAAAGTCATTTACTCTGGGAATAAATGGGATTAGACAACTTCATACAAGATCATCATAGTGGATTGATCGCCCAACACAGGGGTTCTGGTTCACCTGTAAAACCAGTGTGCGTCAACAGTAATTTTATGAAAAAGCTGGATAGGGCCTTGTTTCCAAATGATGGATTGCCAAGTTTCCGCAACTCTGCTTTGCTTTGCTCATTGCCACATCCAGATCTGTTCATAGGTCCTATTCTGTTAGATACTCTGTCAAATCTGAAAGCAGGTGGGTCAACGCGTTTTGGAAGTAAGCTTGGTTTGATGATGACTGTTCTTAATGCGCATTATCGTCAAAGGGCATGGCGTTTTCCCCCAGACTGTCGGATCTACATTTGTGGCCACGCAACTCAACTGAGAGATGAGCATTTTGAGAACTGGAGCAACTTATCTAATCGCAGTTTAGACAGTCAGTTGTTGGACTAGAGACACGACTTATCAAAGGTACACAGCACAGCTTCAACCAATTCAGTGGCTGAACAAGATGGTCTCTTTGGAAATTAGATGGTCTTTTGCAGAACAAGAGTATTTATTGGTGGCGGTCTAACGCAAAGATGGTATGGCTTAGGGGATAACAACTCTTCTTTCTTTTCATTGAATACCTCTTT